ATATATATATATTTATATATATATATATATACTGCATGGTATCCAAATGTAGTTATTATTTTAATTACAGCTTACAGACGGGCCAATCCATCGTCAGCGATGCTCCAATTTATATATTCTGAGACACCGCAGTATCATCACCAATCAGGAAGAACCAAGACACAGATATAAAAACAGCCGGCACAGCTACACCAGCTACAAAGTCAAAAGCTCTGCACATAAACATAGATACCCATTCTGCATTATGAACTCGAACCTCAGTATTTTACAAAAACCCAAACTTTTACGCCGTTGATCCATGTACTACAGCTGTTCTTCGGTTCAACAGTACCTCTACACTGGCATGCTAGAATTTACAGTGATCGTACATACTGAGACGATCGTCTATATAGTTGTATGGCGATAATGCATGACAGCTTCAGCCCAATATGAGTAGGAGTAGAATATATAGATACCGTAATTCTCAAGGCGGTCAAAGTATCTTGGTCTGTGTTTCCCTACCTGGTATGCCTTCCATAGATTGGTTGGGAGTTACCCAGTCATCGCCAAATAAATCTTCATTTTGATTTGTTTTCCGTTTCCGGAATGGATTATGTATGCCTTTCATGCTCACTTATAATGGACATATGAATCTGAATACTGTGCTGTAGACGTGATGCTTTGTCTCGAAAGCTCGTATTATATAGTATATACACTACATAACATAATTAGTGTATACATATATAATTAATATTACTGTGTTCATATACATAATATTTTTCTAAGACAACGTTTTGAAAGTTTCTGTGCTATAGGCCATCTGCTGGAGGCCTGGAGCCCGCGTAAAATGTTGTGCAAGCTCTGATAAAACCCTGAAACTGTGTCTGTGTGTCATCATCAATTCATCTTTAAATGTATTTAGCTTCTATATGTACTACGAAAGAATTGCAAAATTCAAATAGAAACATTCAGAAATTCATATTTTTGGATCACCCCTTTTTTGATAGACCTTTAATTTTAGTCTGAACTGTATGTATACTTCGAAAAACGAATAATATTTAGCTTCTCCGATAAACAATGAGAGAAACAAAAATCTAAAACATAACTAGGATTTACTTTCTGAACGCAATCGAGTCTAATCCATATTTCTCTATAAAAGGTGCTAAGGAATCCAAAACAGTGCGAGAGCACTGATGAAGACGACCTCGTTTTATCAGGGTTTCTTAAGAAGTAATCTGATTGGTATAGGTTAGGCTTTTTTGTACTTTTAACAGTGGTGCAGTCAACTGTTGGTGACTGAGACACCGAGTCCGTGCTGGGACCTCCCCGGCGGCCCGCTCGAGAGCTTTCCTGTGGCGAAAGCGCATATTCTACAATAATAATAAAAACCTGCATAAAAATATTGGATTATGTAACGGACTAACGGGCGTCGAAATTCGCATAGACGCACGCATATTTATCATCGGACTACTTACATAGTACAAACTATGTACACATCTATATAATTATATATACAAGAATAGGTTCATACTATATACACAAATACTAAGTGTAGTCACGATGAAGATCATTGGGTTAACCGGTGGCATTGCGTCAGGCAAGAGTACTGTCAGCCAGCAACTGACCCAGTTAAATATTCCAGTAATAGACGCAGATAAGATTGCCCGAGAAGGTGTGTGGCGTGACCCTGTGA